CATTCCTGCATCTGCATTGTTTGAGCTAAAAAGTTGTAAGTGCTCTTCCAGATTTGCAGCAACTAATATGGACAGGAGAGCTCTTTCTCTAGGCAGATGTTTGCCTGTAGTCTGCAGCAAAAAACTGGTTTCAAGGGGTGGCGAGTTATTATACCATCTCCTGGTAGCAGAGCAGTTCCTGTGTCCGTCCAAAAAGCGTTTTGCAAAAGAGCAAAAAATAGCATTGTATTGCACCTTTTAATAGGCATGAAAATATCTGGTCCTCGCAAATGACTCTGAGGGTTACTCAAAAATGCCAGCGTTAGTCCAATAAAAGCAACATCTCAAAGCACCGAGACCATCTCTTCATTTCCAAAGGGAGCTTACGGTTGAGCTACAGTTATACACATTCAGAGAGACACGAGGGACGAGGTGACAGCAGGGCAGCCTGCCTTTATTTTCAGAGGTGGTTAGTCAGCAGCGTAACCTGAAATAAGCATGCCTGTCCTCCCTGTTTTGGTTCGGGCAACAGTGAAGTAAATCAGCAGCATTACTTCACACGCACAGCCTGGGAAGCTGCTCAAAATACTTTCTTCAAAGCCTTTCTGTGCAGCAGCCAGCACGTAACAGAGGAGCAAGGACTCTGCTATCACAGCTCCATGGGCTCAGCAAGTTCCATTTACAAAAACGGCTGTTGCACCAGGAAAACATGTATCTTTAGGTAATTAACATTGTTGCCTTAACTCTAAAATAATGAGGCAAGCTGCCAGAGGCAACCTGAATGGAGCACAGATTTAGCAGGAAGAATCCCCCAAATTATAATGCTGGCATGCCCTGACATGTCATCATACCTACCTTCGTCTCACTTCACGTCTACGAAACGGAGACAATGCATTAGCTAACATCAGGAAGGTGCTTTGAGAAATGTAATGCGCTAAATGCCAGGAGTAAGTATTTTTTCGTTGTGTGGACTACATTATTTTTCTGCTCATTAACAAGGCGACCTGATTCTGAATCCCTCATGCGTGACTTCAGCAGGCTTTTTACAACAGGAGATTCCCAGATACAGGGGCAGCTGGATATAAGATACATAAAGAGCTGGAGGGCTGAGCCAGAACAGCAGTCAAAATGCCATCTTAATTGGTGACCTTCTAGCAGCCTGTGTCTCTTCCTGACCTTCGGCTCATTCTGCAGCCTTGAAAAGCATGACAATTAAAATAGCAGGGCCACAGGCAGTCTTGCCAAACACTTTTTTTTTTCCCCCCTCCTAATTAAACAGCATTTTCTGAAACAAACCAAACATGCGTGCACAGTGACAAGGCATGAGGGGCACAAGATCATGTCATCAGACCAAAAGCAACTTGTAGAGCTTCAGCCTCCACCGGACTCCAGGACAAAAGCAAGTCTGCCAAGAAGGCACCCGAACATACAAAATGAGCCCACGTTTCCTTCTAAGGCTCAAGATCTCCACCGGTACACACGCTGGACTGAGAGACTGTAAAACCTGCTTAACAAATATCTACTTACAAAGACCATAAGGAGGGATTAGTCATGTGTATTATTTTTTGGTTTCTTTAAGTACCAGAAGCAAATTTGATACAAAGGTAGCAACGAAGCCATCAGAGATTGCCCTCACATGCTGGTTCAGGGAGGCAGTCCTCCATACTCAGAGCGCGGTTTGTAACAAAACCTCTAATTTGAAGGCTAAAACCCAATTTTTGCTTCCCTTGCTACCTTCAGTACATTAGGTCAGAGCGAATACACTATCCTTCTGCGTATAAAGCACCCACTATGGCAGTAAGTCTTGGACAACAGAATGGGCACCAGCTTTAGTTGAATACGCAGGCAAAACAAAGTTGAGAA